GCTGTAACTTTCGCTATTTTTATGGTGGCTCGCTTGCTCTAAGAAATAGAAAACACTGACAATGCATTGTAATAAATTAAGACTTTGTTTACTTTATGTTGAAAATGATAGGTGTAGGTGTCTCTATTTAGAACTGAAAGCAAGCATTGTCATTGTCTCTGTAGGCAAACCATATACCTCATGCAGGAGAACGGAAATAGTGTACTGAGCTTACGTATCCTGGTCGGTCCCAACTGCGTTATGTCCACGCTTCTACTTGACCTTGGCTGTGTAGACGCAGCCGGGCCTTCATATCTTCCCACATGTTTAAATAGTTTCAAGGTGGAAAAGGTTCTGGAACAATCCCACCAGTGGCCTTGCTCTTTGTGCCTAATATTCTGTGAATGACCAGAGCAGCTGTGGACTAATTAAGTACAAAAGTATACAGGTGGCCAGAGGAGTGACTGGAAAAATGCAGTCCTGTTTAAGGGGCCTTTTGTTTCTTTAAAAAAAAAAAAAGTGGAAAAGGCAACAGCTTCTTAAATTTAATGTAAAATATTAAGGCCAAAATAGATAAAATGAAAGAAATAGTCAAATAAAAATGTTGTCTAGGCCAGATGTAACCAAATCAAATGGAACGGTTCACAGGTGTTCCTCAAAATGTTTGTAATACAGTCGGAGAAAATTGCTTCCTTCATTTTTCATGACTTTAATAAATAAAGACAATCTTTCTATGAAAGAACAGTCTTTAAACAGCAGCAAAACCATGCTATCTCATCTCTGATCCATATCTCTATGACCTGTAACCAATGCTATAAATACAGATCAATCTGCATTATTACTGAGAACTGACACCTGTGTTCCCAAAGCCATAAATATAGATCACGACGCATCAACCCCGACATCACTCCACATGGCGGCATAAATGACCTACACAGCTCATTTTAGAAAAACATGATCTTCCATCAGTGAACTCACACAAGAAACTATGATGATGCTTAAAAACTACTTCCATGCCTGGAAAGAAGTATACGTTTGACTTAATGGCTGTTATTTGTCACAGAATAAAAGTCCACATTCCTACATCTTCTCCCTTCCACAAATTACTACTCATCACATTTTTTTTTTCACATGCCTGGTGCTCAGCTAGGATTTGTGAGGAATACAGAAAAATCAGAAGCATTTCCATTCCTCAAATAAGTGAAAGTACAGCAGAAGAAATGGCAAGTATAAAAAGAGCTGTAAAGATGACAGAAGATGGCAATGCTGTGTGTGAGGTCCCCAGTTCACATACAAAATGCTTTAGGGCGGTGGTGCTTTACTGAGTACCTGTTAAGAGACACAATAGAAGCTAGAGGTATTATGTGGGAAGAAACGGAGACATTACTTGATGTCATGCATTTTACAGTTGAGATGGAGGACAGAGTCTACACCCATGAACAGACGAGAGAATTATACATGGTGATAATTAACTTAAAGGAAATAAGACCCTAATAGAGAATAACAGTAGGGACCTAGCTTAGATAGGCCGATCAGAAAACACTTCTCTGAGAGGGCCCATTTATGTTGGAACATAAAGCAAGAGAAATGTCCCCCATGTAAGAGTTCTGGGGAGCACGAGAGGAATGAGAATACGTCCACGCACACATGTGCATGCAAGTGTTTATGGAAGCATTAGTCACTGTAGCCAAAGTGAAAGCAACCTCCATGCCCGTCAGTTGCTACCATGGGTTGAATTGTGTCCTCCTGAAAGATAAGTTGAAGTCCTAACTCCCAGGAACTCAGAATATGACCGTATTTGGAAATAGGGTCATTACAGATGTAATTAGTTCAGGCAAGGTCATTGCAGGAGGGCAGATCTTTAATCCAATGTGACCTATGTCCTTAAAAGAAGACGATGGGAAGACACACAGAGAGAATGCCATGTGATGACAGAGGTGGAGCTCGGAGTGACACAGCTGCAAGCCAGGGGACACCCAAGATCGGCGGCCACCCCCAGAAGCTAAGAAGATGCAAGGAACGATTCTACCAGCGTCTCAGAGGGATCACGGCCCTGTCGACACCTTCATTTATGACTTCTGGCCTCCAGACCTTGAGAGAATGCATTTATTTTGCCTGAAGCCACTCAGTTCGTGTCACTTTGTTACAGCATTCCTAGGAAACTAATACAAGCAGTGAACGGATGAGTAAAATGCGGTTCCTCCGTACGGTGGAGCCCTATTCAGCAATAAGGAGGAAGGAAACACTGATTCTCGCCACAGCAAGGATGGACCTCGATAGGTTCTGCCACGCGAGAGGAACCAGATGCAAAACACGTCATATCGTATGACTCCACTTGTAGGAGATGTCCAGAAATGGCCATTGTTCAGAGACCGAAGGCAGAGCTTGGTCTCCTGGGCTGGGACTGGTTCGGGGAAAAAGCTGTAAACGGCGTGAGGGGTCTTATCCCGGTGATGGATGTGCCCTGAAACCGGATGGTGATGATGGTTGTGCAACTCTGTGAATCTACTAAAAATCATTGCATTGTACGCTTAACATTGCTCAACTTTTTGGTATGTAAATTATGCCTCAATACATGTGTCATTTTCTTAGAGACGTCATGGAAAGCAATGACAACTGAGGGGAGAGCTTTAGGTACTTTCTGGTCAGGTAAAGACCCCATGAGCAAGAGAGTAGGACGCCAGGGGGCGGGGCCAAGGGCCCTGGGGGTGTGGCTCTGAGTCTGGTCTGTCATAGGTGGGACTTAGGGGACCTGGGACGCTGAGTCTGCATCACAGTGATGTTTCAGTCACTCAGGACAAGGTTGTGTGAGATATATTTGCCCCTGATGATCCTTCACAGCTGGATTAAGGAGCCCCCGGGTTATCTGTAATCTTTTTAGAAACCTGGCCTCTGCCACCACAGACAGCGTTGCCCCTTGGTTTTAACCTTATTGTCTCACCCTCTCCCACACAGGCTGCACTGCAGTGCAGACTGTCTCGGTTTCCTGGGAGGATGCAAGACCTCTTCCTCTCAAGGCAATCCCTCCTTTAATTAACACTGCCCTTGGGGTACACGCCGCGCACACAGCACTCAAAGGTGTTACCTCATTCCTGTGCTCAGGGCCCGAGGGGCCTGATCGATGGGATGACAAGTCAAGTGCAGGGACTGTTTGTCGTCAGTTCAGCAGTTGTGTGCGAATGCCTGCTCTGCGGCAAATGCTCCAAGGAAGGCGAGCCCACACGTAAGGGCAAGAGAACTCAGAGAGCGGCCGACAGGG